TATATATATATATATATATATATATATATATATATATATATATAAATAAAATGTAGTCGTATGATATATGATACAAACCTATAATCATTTTAAACATGTAAGGATAAATTGATAACAAATTATAATATTTTCTGAAATTGGGCATTTATTGAAAAGAATAATTAGAGAAAATTGACAAAGAAATGAAAATTATTCTAATAATTTTCACATTTCTCTGCAGCGGACAAGCGCATATTTCTTCGCGACAGACAGAACTTTTTGAACTTTCGTATATTTGACAAAAAAGTAGTGCCGTTTTTTTTACTTCAGCATCAGATACTGATATTATTATATGCTACTTATAAATTTCACGCGAGTTCCCGCGTTCCTCAAATTCGTAACTTCGTTTGGCTTACGTACCGTGTGATTGTGTGTTCGTACGCGATTAAAGCCGCATACGCAAGTTAAGTTTAAGCTCGCTGAGAACGTAGTTTCACACGCACACACGCAAACGTACCGTTACTGTGGCGGAAATATCGAAGAATCAGTAATTCATTCACGGTGTATTTCTTTTTGTAGCTCATGGAGTTCGATATGAGCAAATACGGTAACGTCTCAAAGTGGCTCGCTAGAATCGAGGCCGAGGCTCCTAAATACAAGGAGATTCAAGACGAGGGTTTAAAGGCCTTCAAAGAATTCGTCGACCAGAAGAAGTAGTGAAATCCTCAGACACGGATTTCATGGTTAGGAGTAACGCATCGGTGCTGTTTTTTTTTTATATTGTCCAGTATTTTTATATGTGTCACAGAGAGATGGTAATTTTGCACAAATAAATGACTGTTGAATAGACCGGTGTATGGCGCTGATTTAAACGTGCGACCGAAATAAATCGACCGCGGCAAGTCAGAGAACAGTTAGTTGGAAAAATGGATTTTGACAGACAAAAAGTGCAGTCGCAAGCGACGAGATAAGCGGTTTTGTGCTTTTGTAACGTAAAGTGTACCGTAAAGTATAGAAGATTATGAGATTAACGTTTTGCGCTCCTGGTGATCTCGTTCTCTGTTCTCGTTACAATACTTGAGGAAACTTGTTATTAAAATATTACCGCGAAATATATATCTTCCGCGCGGATCTCTCGCGGAGTATAAGGCCGGGAATTCTCACCTCCGTTGGTCACTTAACAACGGGGAAACTTTTAGCATAGTTCCCCCGCAGCCGGCTCGTTCCGTCGTTGTCGGAGAATCCTGACCTAGTCAAAGCGGTATCGCTTTGTCGCGAACAAAAACTTTCCGCGGCGAGTGACCAAGACCAAAATCCTCTACTCTTCCCTCCCCTCTCCCCTGCGCCCGCCCGTTACTTGGAATCTTGTTAACAGGTAGATTTTCGTCTTATCGATCGGCTGCGAAGTTACGTCCTGTATACGACGAGGTCTCACGAGCGAGATACGAAGCCGGTTAATAATTAATATAATTATCCTGACAAAGGTGTTGAGCGCCTTTGTCGATTCTGATTTGTCTATCCGGGATTTATGGCGGAGTATACGGTATGCTCGCCCGAAACGTGACGGATCGAACTTACCGTAGCGGGAGAAATGGCTGAAGAAGGTGTCTGTGAAATAACAATAATGAAACGACTCGGGAGAACTTGTCAAGTCCGAGCTTGCAAATATCAAGAAGCGGAAACTGTAACGACTCCTCCGCGATCCCGGCATTTTTATTTTGCTCCGTCTTTCATAAGAGCGATCTTCGAGTCGAACACGACGTTAACGAGTTTTTCGAGCCGTGAGCTCGTTCGTTCTCATTACGCGCGTAATTTGCCACTATGGTAGTCGAGCCACCTTAGAGCCGATGTTCATTTGGCTCTCCGCTCTTTAAATAGCGTTTAACGATAGCAATAATTACGGGGCGCAAGAGCCCCGCTACTTACATCCGTCGCATTTAGTCGGTGATCGCGGAAATACGACTGATATTACTAGGAGCGTAGACTACGTAACAAACTGATGCTCCACAAAATGTCGCCCGTCGAATGCAGGGCGAATATCAAAGAGGAATAATCGAGGTGTAAAACTGACGCGTGTCATAAAGCGCCTTTATCGCTGTCATTTCCACGGCGGCAGAAAGGGAATCACGAGAGTTTCGCAAGATTTGATAGATATTCGGGAAGCGTGGCGCCGCGGCTGCAAAACTTTTATTAGAGGTGCGCGCTGAGAGAATGTAAGGAAAATGTAAGTCACGACGGGCAGAGAGATGAACTTCAAAAAAGAAGAACACCGAGAGAAAGGAAGAAAAGAAAAAACTCCAACAGCACACGCTGTTCCCAAGCGGCACCCATTTAAGTACTAACCGCGCCCTACTGAAGTTGCCTGATCTCAGTGATCAGGCAAGAACCGGTGCTTTCAACGCGGTATGACCGTTGACACTCGCGACCGCGTTTTCGATTATCCGCACGCGAGTCGAAATTTTGATCCCACGTTGATCTTGCAAGTTCCATCGAACTTGAAGGGTCAACGAAGAATCCAAAAATGTACAAGTTACTGACTTACCTTGATGTCGCGGACAGTTGTTGACTGCCGTATTCTCCATGTTAAAGAAGTTTGAAGAAGCATTCGTTCAAGAATTATACAATATTTAAATCTTTTATTTATTTTAGATTATTTCAGTTATTCCTTAATTACTTAATATTCCCGATTATCTCATTATATCTCGATAAAATTTCACATTCAGACTGTGCACAAAAGGAAAATATCATTTTACTGCTAAGAAAAGCTTTTAGTTAGTCTACTTCTTTTAAATAATGCTTATCTCTGACAAGAAATATTTTCCTCTCTTAAAAATAGTCTTAAAATATGCTCGTCGTAAATTCCAGAAAAGCTCATTATTACATGTAGTCAAAAACAGAATTAATTTTTTTTATAAGAATATTATATATAGGGCTCTTTGTAGAAAAAAAATTTGGCTCGATTCTATATGTAATAAGCAAACCGGATTTTCGTTTTAATTTAACGTTCTTGATTGAAGTGCTAAATCTAAATATTCATAATGTATTTTGAGTAAATTTGACGCTTATGATGAACTTGTATAATTTTGCGAATATACATACTTATCAAATACTTAGAATAAGTAACATTTGCTTAAAAGCAGTATATAATGCAAATTCCATTGAACTTGAAGAATCAACGAAAAATCTAAAAATATATAGGCTATTGATTTACTTTGATGTTGCAGAGGGTTGTTGACTGTAACGATTTTCTCCATATTAGAGAAGCTCGAAGAAATATTCGTTTAAGAATTATACAATATTTAAATCTTTTATTTATTTTAAATTATTTCAATTATTTCTTAATTATTTAATATTTCCGATTATCTCAATATATTTCAATAGAATTTCACGTTTAAACTATGCCCATAAAAAATATTTAATATTTAATATATATTTAATATTCCTGATTATCTCAATATATCTCAATAGAATTTCACGTTTAAACTGTGCCCATAAAAAAATGTTCTACTATTAAGAGAAAATTAATTAATTTATTTAGAATTAATTTTTTTAAAAGAATATTATAAAACTTTTTATAGAACAAAAATTTGGCCCGACTCTGTATGTAATAAACAAACCGAATTTTTGTTTTAATAATCTTGATTGAAATGCTAAAACTAAGGATTCAGAATGTATTTTGAATAAATTTCATGCTTATGATGAACTTGCATAATTTTGCGGATATACAAACTTATCAAATACTTGAAACATATAACATTTGCTTGAATATTTTTCTGTGTCTTTTTTTTACGAAAGTTTCAATGAAGTTCGTAGCTCTTAAAATTTTCGTTAGAAAATTTTGAATTTTCAAAACAGAAAATTTTGAATTTTTAATTGTGTGTGACCAAGTGTAATTATATTTGAATAGAGAATTTATATAGATAAAGAAAGAAGTCAAATTATTTAGTAAAGATTAATATATGGGCAAATGGATAAAAGAACAAGATTGAACCTCATCTCTTCCTAATTTTTCTTTTTTCTTTTTTTAGGGAAGTTTTGATAAAATTCGTAGCTCTTAAAAGAGCTGATATGCAGCTGCAAAGGCAAAAATAATAGTTTTGTGTCCAATAATGCTTTATCAATAATATTGTAATCAATAGTGACTCTAAATTCGATACAAAAACAAATGCCAAATAGAGGCATTGGTTGATGTTAATAAGATCAGATTCGCGGACAAAGAAGCATTATTAGACGTGAAAATTGTCACTTGTGAAATTATTGCAATTTCTAAGGCCAGTATTCACAGAGTTGTTTAAAACCTTTGATTAAAAACATAAGTAATTCCAAATTCGTATTCATGGACCATTATTCGGCTGTTTGGATCAATATTTTTTGTATGAAATAATATAATGAACATAGGTACAATAATAATAATGAAAATAAATGTAATAATAGTAATAGGCATGAAATAATGTAATAAATATAAGTATAGATTAGTATAGTCCCAAATACAATACAAAATACAAAATAAATACAAGTATAAATTAATATAGTCTCAATGTAATGAAGCTATAAAATTAATAAATACAAGTATAGTTTGTAATAAATACAAGTATAGATTAGTATAGTCCCAAATACAATACAAAATACAAAATAAATACAAGTATAGATTAGTATAGTCCCAATGTAATGAAGCTATAAAATTTCTGATGAAACTAATTTATAAAGGAGAATATAATCAAGCTATAATTATATGTCGCATGTGGTGAAAAACTATGAATTCTGGCCTAAATTTCGACTCGGGTATTTCTTTATCTTCGATAAGTTCGCCAAACGTCCGCGAAAAACGGTAACTTCCTATATAACGAATGATTTGGCATATCTGGAAAATATATGATGTATCGCTACGTGTCGGCATCCTGTGTCCTCCATCCTGGCTTCTCGGTCCAGCATTCTGGCTGCTCCGTCGTGACATTAACACTGACACTGATATTAAAAGATCGCCTACAAAGCGGTCGCAGTTGTGTCTTAAAGTCGTAGCGCTAGTCTGCGAATCGATCATGTATCCATTTCCTTTGCGCAAACTCGTGAAAAATGAAAAGTTTTATTGAAGTCTTCAGTGAAACTTTTCATTTGTCACGAGTCCACCCAAAGGAAATGGATACATGATCGATTCGCAGACCAGCGCTACGACTTTAAAACTCAACTGCAAACGCATCGCAGAAGATCTTTAACATTGAAGCTCGCGTAGGCATAATTCACCCCAAGATATACGTGTTAACCCTTAACTAATATCGTGGGTCCACCGGACCCACGCAAAATCTTTAAATGCGCATTTATAGAGCTGTATACGCTGCAGCTCCTCGTTTATTTTAAAAATTATTTTCAGTTACTACATACAAAAAAATGACTTAGTAATATCAGTTAAACCGTGGTAGCTGATTCAAATTTAGTCAAAAGGCTAATTGTTTAGCTGTCACTGCTAAGAATTGGCTATGATAGCTAAAATACTTTTGCTATGAAATACAAATATATTAGGTGACATTAAAAATGTACATTATTTCAAGTAGCTAAGAAAATTGCAATTATTTCTAAATTTCTTATCGTATGCATATACTAAAGAAGTTTGCCGCACAGCTACAATCATTTGTTATAGTCATTTGTTTCTAGCAGCTAATATTTCTCGCTGTAGTGCCTAAGTTTAAACAGCGAATAAATTTAGCTTTGGTAATATCGACATTAGCAGTCCCTATTTCAGTGACACATCTTATCTGTCACAGCTATTTTTTTAGCTCTGGAAGCTAGTTTTTTTGCGTGTATTGTTGATTTTGATTAGAGATAAGTAAATATATGTTTAAACATTTAAAATAAAAACTAAAAACCTATGAAACACTACGAATTTTTATTTTATTAGCCTTTGAAACTGATTAGGATCCACCACGTTAGATGCGTTACAGTTTTTCACGACATAAGTTAAGGGTTAAATAACGCAATGCCGGCACGAGAGACTAATTAACTGTCTCGAAACATCCACGGAATAGTTTAATCACTCAAGAGCAACAATAGATAACGCACACCGACACGCGCGATCCGTAGTGTGCGTGTCGCTCGCCGGCCCGGAACTGAATGGATAGTTCCGGAAAAGTCTACGAGGCACAAGAGTTAAATTTGGCCCCCTTCCGCCGCGTTAAGGGGATGCTGGAGTCGATGACAAACTCGAACAATGTCGATAATGCAGAGACGATCGTCACTAACATAACGCTATTCTTTTCGTATTTCTTGTATATACAGAACTTGCATGAATGGGTGTTATTTTGTTTTATCATATTCAACGGAAAATCTAACCATATATATAAAAAATCTATAAGATATAGAAGAAAGATCTATAAGAAAATATATAAGAAATCTTTCTGCAAACTTTTTCGATATTTTTAAGCTTCCAAATGCAGATGCGAAGATAGAGCAATGTCCTTAAAAATTTTTCTGTTTGGAGCATCCACATTTTCGGTATGTACAAGTTGCGAAACTTTTGGATTAGGCAAATATTGCGCTGACAGCTTGAGATTTTACATTAAAAATTTTTTGTTCGTTTTCGTCACATGTCGAACAATGCTCCTATTTATTTTTGCACGTATTTTCATTGCGTAAAATCATTTGTAATTCTGTGTAACCAATACGATGTAAATTTTGCAGAAAAATGTTAGTGTTCTGTCGGTTTCAACTTCAGCATCCCCTTAAAGGTCTCGAATGTTTTGACTGTGTAGAGAAACAATAGAGATAACGCGCCGACACACGTGATACGTGTGTCGCCTGCCGGCTCGAGACTGAACGGAAACGTGCAAAAACATTCGCGAGGCGCAAATTTGACCACTCTGGAGGTTCTGGATGTTTTAACCGCGTTATCGCTCGACGCCTTTTGATGAGCGACGACCGTTATCGATGGGAGGGGATCAGCGTTATTGTCACATGAGAAAGAAAAGTTTATTATTCCATTTACCTGTTAATTATGTTTACGCGGCAGTTTAATTAAATGATTTGATATTCGTTTATTACGTATATTTTATGAACAGTTGAACAAATCAGGTGATTGATACGTTGATCGAAATGAAGAATAAATATTAAATGCAGATAGGATATGAATAATCGAATGTTAAATATTTCCTAAATAAGCTCTCCTTCAAGGAAATGCTGGAGTCGAAATCTTTATCGACAGAACTGATTTCTTTCCGCAAAGTTTACGTCGTATTGACTGTGCAGAAGTACAAATGCTCTTACATGATAAAAATTTCAGAGTTGACATTTCGAATGCAAATTAGCCTGTTAGACGCTATCGTTTAAAGTCAATATTCTCCTGAAAGCAACGATCTGTGACTTGTATATATTGAAATATTGGTTTATAACTTTTTTATTGGTTTATCTGATGATATTGCATCGGAAGTATTCAATTAAATTTAAATCGGATCCTGATCGGGTAAAATTCATCGGTATTTTGATCGAAAATATTCGTTTGTTAATTTTTTATCGGATAATTTCTCTCAATGTAGCGTGATTGTGTTAGTGACGAGTCATTTCTGCGTTATCGACATTGTTTGAGTTCGTTATCGACTTTAGCATCCTCTTGAGCTTCAACACTGAGGAATTCGCTATTACAAAGTAAACATTTATCGTATCAATGCAATAATCTATAAAGTGTTGAGATTTTCCATTGGTCCTATAAATTCGATGGAATTTGCGGGACTAATATAGAACGAAAATTTTGGCTAAGGTATACAGACTTGAAAAGTGTGGCAGAATAGCAAACCTTTTAATGTATCAAGAGCGTCCTGAAGATATTACTACTAAATCATTACAAAAAATGAACTTAAGGGGCTGCTGGAGTCGATGACGAACTCGAACAATGTCGATAATGCAGAGACGATCGTCACTAACATAATCACGCTATTCTTTTCGTATTTCTTGTATATACAGAACTTACATGAATGTGTGTTGCTTTATTTTACCATATTCAACGGAAAATCTAACTATATATGTGTAGAAATCTTTCTACAAACTTTTCGATATTTTTAAGCTTTCAAATGCAAATGCCAAGGTAGAGCAATGTTCTTCAAAATTTTTCTGTTTGGAGCATCCACACTTTTAGTACATACAAGCTGCGGAATTTTTGGATTAGACAAATATTACGCTGAGAGCTTGAGATTTTACATTAAAAATTTTTTGTTCGTTTTCATATCGAATGCATATATCGAGCAATGCTCCTACGACGTAAACTTTGCAAAAAAATGTCAGTATTCTGTCGGTAAAGTTTTCAGCTTCAGCATTCCCTTAAAGGGATATATATATATATATATATATATATATATATATATATATATATATATATATAATGTTACACAGAATTATGAATGCTTTTACGCACTGAAAGTACGTACAAAAATAAATAGGAGCATTGCTTGATATGTGACGAAAACGAATAAAAAATTTTTAATGTAAAATCTCAAACTATCAGTTAGCGTAATATCTGCCCAATCTAAAAGTTCCGCAGCTTGTACATACCGAAAGTGTGAATGCTCCAACAAACAGAAACATTTTGAAGAACATTGCTCTACCTTCGCATCTGCATTTGGAAGCTTAAGAATATCGAAAAAGTTTGCAGAAAGATTTCTACATATATATGGTTATCTACATATATATCTACATATATATATGGTTAGGTTTTCCGTTGAATATGGTAAAACAAAGCAACATATGTATATTCATGTATATTCTGTATATACAAGAAATACGAAAAGGATAGCGTGATTATATTAGTGACGATTGTCTCTGCATTATCGACATTGTTCGAGTCCGTCATCGACTCCAGCATCCCCTTAAAAAAAATGAGAAAGTTAGCATCGTATAACAGCGTATAATGTTGCCAAAGCGGTATGTTAACAAGGAAAGACCTCTATCTATCTACCCGTCTGTGCGCCATGAAATTCTAATAAAGGTCAGTTGTATGTACGTGTAGCTACATTTAAACGAGTGTCGGCATATCGATTGACGAAGTCACTGAAGTTGTGAATCGTTCAGTCTTCGCGTGAGACCGAAGGTGTATGTACGCGCATTCTTTCTCTGCGAGACACAGGTCGTGCCACTTGTCAACGCCTGTTAACAAGTGACGAACAGGTAGTGTACTCATAAATGAAGTAGAGCTACGTTTAATTATAGATCACGATATATTAGCCGATCAAACGGTTCTCAAGAAGCCAGGAACATGTCCGTACAATTGTATTACTTCCCTCTGAGCTCACCTTGCCGAGCTGTGCTGCTCACCGTGGAAGCGATCGGGCTCGAGATGGAGCTAATAGAAGTGAACTTAATGGCTGGTGAACACTTGACGCCGGAATACGAGGAGGTATAAGAAACGTCGATGGTTCCCGTGTTATCTTTGGTATCGAGTCCCGATAACCCGTTATTATTACGTGTAAAACCTGTCCCGTTTCCCCGCAGTTAAATCCGCAGAAGACAGTTCCCTTCATGGTGGACGACGATCTCAAACTGTCGGAGAGGTCTGTACTGTACTACGTTATAATAGCGCAGCTCGTGAGTTTCTCGCCGTATTTATTCAGAAATAACGTTCCAGTCGAGCTATTATGGCTTATTTGGTCGACCAGTACGGCGAGAATGACAGCCTGTATCCGCAAAATACGGAGGCGCGTGCTTTGGTTAATCAGCGATTGTACTTTGATCTCGGCACGCTCAGCACCAGTATAACCGGCTATTACGTGAGTATGTAATTAATTCTCTACGTAAGAGAGAAGAGCCGCAATGTACGTTTCTTCAGGCATCGGTTTCGACTTCGAATTTATACGCATCTTCCAACAACGCGTATCTCAATGCGCATTTTCGTTTGCGAATATTTAGACGTTAAAATTGAGAGAAAACTTGCCACTCTCTCTCGATGACCGTATCCTTTCTTGCAAATGAAACGATCTCTTTAACTGAAAAGAGGTCCTGAAGAAACAAACATTGATCTATCTTCTTCGAGGTATCAAACTATCCTTCGATAAATTGCGCCGTGCTTGCGATCATCGCAAGTTTCGTTGTAGATGCCTGTGTTTAAAAAACTCACCGATACGTACGATCCAACGGTTTTTGAAAGGATGACGGACGCCTTTCGAATCCTGGATACTATCCTCGAAGGGCACGATTACGCGGCTGGGCCTAACTTGACGATTGCTGATCTCGCTCTGGTCGCGTCTGTGACTACAGCAGAGGTATAATTCCGGCAATACTGATTACAATGACGTAAATGTGAATGGAACGTTTAAATTTACAAGCAGCATAGCGGTGTGAGGCAAATATATTGATATTGTATTTTTCAGAATATAATTTTATATGACAAGAAAGCATATTGCGTTACGCGGTACATTAAAATACAAGCGAAAGCATTGTGCTTCGATAAAAACACTTTGTAGTAATATTTTTCATTTTTAATGCGTGTAAAATTATTTCTAAAACAGACGGAGGCTATATGCGGGCAGTTTTTTTCATTCGCTGCACAATGTACGTGCATTTATATGCCGCGCCGGTAACATAAAGCCTCACACTCTAAACTCACGTGCATATATCCCTGTGAATTAATTCTGTAATTTTAACTCTTCAAAAGTTTCCGCACGCCAAGAGAATTCTGTTGCCCGAATTCTGCGGCGGATTACGGATTGCCTAAAGCTTAACACTTAGGACATTATACAACATCAAGTTGATGATTGCACAAACGCTGTGCAATAATATATTATTACATTTCTTGATTTTTATAACATTTTATATTTTGGACATTCTACATTTTTCTCCTCGTCAGAAATCCTATACTAGATCAATTATTTGTTTAAAGCACGAGTAAACTAATTTGTTGTATGTCAGGCTTTCGGCTTCGAAATGGAAGAATATAACAACGTTACTGATTGGTTGGAAAGAATAAAAACTACTGTACCTGGATATCAGAAGGCTAATGGCGATACAATCGAAATGTATAAGCAAATTGTAGAAGAGTCACGAGCCAACGAAGAAGAAGGAAAAGAAGAAGAGGAAGAAGAAAAGGAAGAAGAAGAGGAAGGGGAAAAGGGAGAAGAAGAAGAAGAGAAGGAAGAAGAAGAGGAAGGGGAAAAAGAGGAAGAAGAAGAGAAGGAAGAAGAAGAGGAAGGGGAAAAGGAAGAAGAGGAAGCAGAAAAGGAAGAAGAGGAATGAAACAATTTAATATTATATAAAAAAGTTTTGTTTTTCCATTTTCTTCAAATATTCGAGTGTTTTATGTAAATAAGAGTGATCGTATTGCTTTTTCACATACGATGTTAGCAATCCAATTAGCAATCATAATATACAAAATTTTAATAAAATCGAATCTTTATTTCCTAATAATTAACCTACTTCGTTTAACTGTCCAAACTGTAAGCTAGTTGTATATCAAGTGGAGAGATTAATTATTATTGCAATCAGATCGTGTGTCTAACATCAAATTAATTTGCGTAAATGTAAATATCATATATGAAAGTATCACATATCATCTTCTTTTTTTTCGCGTTGCTTTTCTTATTATTTCTGCGCGCAATTTCCGTATGTGACTTCACTGAAATTCTTGTCGTTTGGAAATGCAGAACAGCATGCCGACTGACGGCAACGCAAGCTTCGCACTACTTCATTCTCAGTACATGGTACAGACATCCTATATATCGTGCGTCGGTTAGTAACCGAAGATCGTAATTGGAGTAGAAAATTAAAATTCGGTGAATTACGACAATTGGTTATTTTATCAAATAAAAATATATATTTTTCCTACTGTATGAGGCCTGGCACTATATTTAAATAAATATTTATATTGTAATCGACGCGCGTTTCCTTTTAATGATCGTGTTCTATCCAAGTTATTTTATCTACAACGGAAACGTAGTTTCCAATCTAGTATGGTATATCGCACAAAGATATTACACTTCACACACACATACGTATCTATATTATTTAGAAAAATATACATAACTTGTATAGATGTTGAATTTTACAGCATAGTTCATCGACAATAAATTGCTGTAATGAAAACAAAAGATAAAAATATCAATTATGACTGCGCACTTACCGATGGAAGAATGATTCCTAGCGATGAATTACGGGTGTTCGTTCTGGAGGTAAAAATGTACAAGCGGACATACACATCACTAAGCCAATCTCGTAGCGAATGTACTCGGAGAGATTCTTCCTCATTCGACGCTAGTTGACCTCCTCTATGTGTGGGACTATATTTTTCAAGACTATATTTCTTCTTCGCTCATTTGTCGTAGTAAAGTAAAGTACGACATCGCGGTGCTTAGTATCTGTAAGCACGAGTGATACGCGTTACATTTCGCATTTTGTAGCAAAAGAAATGGCTTCGCCGTTTACGCCGTTAGATATCCTCAACAGTCCCCAGAGGGGCCGTAATTGGACGTATTTCTTGAAGAACTATCTACTTTTTTCAGCACGCCCCCTCGTCCTCCCACGATGTCATAATTCAAAGAATCCCGACGAGAGAAGAGCGCTGTGGTCGCGGCTATAACGTATTCGCATTGATGTGTTTTACAAGCGGCCGGGAAAGGGTAAAGTGCGACTCGCGTATAACATCCGCGCGAAAAAGCCAGTCACGGACGGCGGGAGCTTCTTAAAACTTGCGCGGCAAACGAACTTTTTCCGCCGCGGAAGTTTTAAGCGAGGCCATTCGTCGCGTCGTGCACTTACCCCCGTGAAAGTGTCCAAGGACATCACCGCGAAATGTCCGGCGGTTAATGCGCACGGTCGACGTGCTCTGATCATGATCATAATTAGCCCCTTCCTCAGCGCCCTGCCCGGGCCGCTGCCGGGTAAAAGATACCACTTGGAGTTGTAAGCGGCGTCGGAGATGGCCGCGCTTTGCACGATTATGTCGTTACACGTCCACGTATAAATAAGTAGCTGGATAAGACCGCCCACGAAGTGGAAGGCGAAAATACACTTCCTGATGGCCACGTCCGCCGCCTGCGGACAAATGAGCCGTGAGGACTGTTCCGCGACGCGAAATAACAGCACGGAATAACCCCCTCTCGCGCGCGAGGAAACGTCGTAAAACGCGTGATGCTCTTCATCTTTCGCGATTGTCGAGCGGTCGAATTGCGCGACTCGCTGTATAAATGAGAGGGCGCGTTCTGTATCACGGGGAGATTTACTCGCGAAGCTTTCGGCCGTACTGTTTACGCGTTTGTATTTATTATTTATATTGCGCATTTGTTTGTAATAAAATTTTCTATCATAACAACCTCACTCTGTGTAAGCCAATCTGACTTTTCTGTACAATCAACGCTGTCAAAATTAAAGCAGACGCACAGAGGTTGGATAATGGTGTGCAGCGCGACCCGCCGGGTCTGACTTGTCATGCGAAAATAAATGAAAACTCGTGGAGCGCAATCGCGGCTTTTAAGCGAGACCTTGTTTTGGAAGGAATCAATCCTGAAAATTAGAAAGTTAATAATATTATCGTGACATTTCAAGCCCGGATGATCTCTCATCACGAGGTCGACGGCCCCGTGTTGCGTGCAGTCGTTCCAGGGAAATTCGTTATAAAATTTGCGAGCTTACGAGAAACTGGAAACCGCCAAAGCAGATTACCACGCTGGAGAGCAGCAACTGACCGAGTAATAAAGTGGCGAACACATGTTGCATGTTCTGCAGGTATTGTAACAGCATGTAATGCTGCCGCACACAATCCTGCAATTAGCGCGACCGGCACTTGAAAGCTCCGCTGTGAAATTCTTCAAGCGCTGAGTCAGACGCAAAGTATGATTCGATTTTCAATAGATGACGTTGCACGCGCACTTAAGTAACACGAATAATTATAATGTCCGCTAAATGCTCAACTCAATCAAACTTGTCTCAAAAGTCGCACCGAACTATCTAACTAATCTAATAATTCTCTAATGTGCGAAGATTCTAATCGCTTCGAGTATAATTAAAAGCGCCCTGCCCTCGAGCCTCTTACCTGTAATCTCTTGAGCGCCAAAGCGACGACTTTTGCCTCCGACAGACTCCTCTTGTCGCTCGTCGCACTTTCGGCATAACTCTCGACGACAATCTGCACCCTGTGAGCCAAGATCTTCAGCTGCGCGGCGGCGTGGATGCAGAACGTGCTCACGAAATTGTCAAAGCAGAAAGTGCAGATGCCCGAGTGCACCGTCGAGAGTGACTGTAAGAATAGTGTTATCGATGTAGTTTGGAGTGTCTGCAGCGTTGGAGTTAAGCAGCGTATCTGCGACGCAAAATATATCATACCAATGTAGTAGATCAAATCAAAATGCACGCAAGATTTCTCTTATTTTGCAAACAAACACGTAAAATGTGGAGTTACTAATTAAAAAAGACTGGAGTTACTAATTAAAGAAGATTGAAGCACACGCGCTATATGGCAGATAAGTATTGAGATAGACTGTCGTTGTGTGTTTGCGAATTAGATAAAATTGCACAAAAAAATCTTGTCATTATGCAAATAATTATATAGATTTTTGAGTTATTAATTAAAGAACATTGATGCATTATCGCGCGTGGTCATCCGTCAATCTTATTTAATTAATAACTCAGAAATCTACGTGGTTATTTGCAAAATGGCAGAGGATTTTCTTGTTTAGTTTGACACAATTTACAAACATACGACAATAGGCGTTATTACCATCTGTCGTGTTGCGCACGATTATTCGCCAATTTTTTTAAATTAATAACTTAGAATTTTACATTGTTGCTTGTGAAATGATAGAAGGATTTTTTGTTCATTTTGACCTAATCTACATGGAGACCGGAGATACGAGGGTGGTCTGAAAAGTTTCCGACCTCAACGTGAAGATAGCAGCACTTGTAAATAAAAGCTAGTGAATTTCGTTGTTCATCTGTTGACAGTTACTCACCGAAGTTTCAGCCATTTTGGACTCGCAGTTGTT